CCACCATTAAGCTCCTTTTCCTGTGTTACAGACTTTGCCTGGACTATCTCTGTTCGCTCCCCTCTGACCTCCTGGTCCCACTGAATATGCAAACATGCACCTTCCTCCATTTTGGTATTTCACGGCTGCCATCATGATGAACTATGCTTTCCTAGCTGCCTGCTGATGCTTACGCATTTCAACCAACCTCTTACACCTCGGCGCTGCTTGTTTCAGAACAGAGTTACAACAGAAAGGAGTGTTTTCTGTCTTCTAGGGTAGGAAGGAGCAGTGACATTGCCCATTCAGGCTGCAGTCATGATTCAGTCCTCTGCATTCTGCAGGGTTCCTTCCCCACCTCTCCCAAGCACTCTGTCCTCCAGCTCCAAAGAGGATGCCATGGGTGCTGCAGGTGCCTTAGGAGACATGCTACAGGCAGAGCTGGTGAATGTATTTGAGTAGTGTGCCTTCATGGAAAAAAACACCTGGATCCCAGTTGTGGTGGCCTATGCCATTAAAGCCTGGTTTGGAGAGGCAGGGGCCGATGAATCTGTGAGTCTGAGGGCAGCCTGTTGTACATAGTGAGTTTCAGGACAACCAGGGCTACATAGAGAGGCCCTGTCTCAAAACACACACACACACACATATGTGCACACTTATGATTTCACCACCAACAAAACCCACTTGGCTCTCCACCTCTTCGAGGCTGATGCTGTGGCCAGCGTTCATCAATGAGTGAGTAACAGCTTATCATCTTTCCCTGCCTCATCCGAGGAAAGATCTGTTTAATTTCCAAACAGTCCCCTTTATGCAGCGGTTCCAGCTACATCACAGCATTGTTATTCTTGTTATTCTTGGGTGATTTACTGGCAATAGGAATAATCCAGTCTCTTCCATGAGAAAACACATGTAAAGGCCACCAAGTTGCACAGCATGAGTTGTAGCGACCGGACACTAAAGGCAGTGTTTGGAATTTAGGCTTTTTTTTTTTTTTCAAGTCAGGGGGAAAAAATCACTATTCATAAAGGAATTTAAAGCTATTTTTGCTTTCTTATTTTATTTAAAACATTCTCACCTCTTCCCCCATGTTTTTTAAAAACACATCAAAGGGAGTTTATTTTCATTTGCAGGTGATTAAATTCCCACTGTAGGATCCAAGACTTTAAAGGGCTTAGCTTATACTTCTCACATGACGTTTGCAAGGCTGTCATTAACCCAAGTTGATCTACTGACCTACGCCAGAACACTCATAGGGATATAGGTCTCTAAAAGCATGTGCAGATAGATTTACAGTTACATCCACAGGGAAACCCTGTCTCGAAAACCAAGGAAAAAAATTACATTTACAAAAGATTAAAAAAAAAATCCTATCCCAGTGGCAGTAGGCAGAGGAAGGCAGATCTGTGAGTTCTAGGCCAGCTTCTGAAAGAAGCTGAAAGGTAAGCCTAGACTGCTTTAATTTTTACAGGTGAGTATTAAGCAGGTACATTAATGATTCACTTAAAATAGCCCACACAGAAGATCTGAGAATGACTTACTGACTGTCCTCGGGAGCAGCACCGTCGCCATGGCAATTCTCCAGCTTCCTACCTGAGGCAAGATGGCTCGTCAGGTAAAGGTGATGACCCGCCTTTGGTCCCTAGAACCCACAGGGTAGAAGGAAAGAACCAACCACCAAGTTGCCCTCTGAATCTGACCTCCACATAGGCTTGCTGGAATGTGTGCGCATGTGCGGACACACACAGGTGCACATACAATGCCTGAATTAAAAAAAGTAACAAAAATTTTTTCAAAGGACAGAGTTGCCTTTTCAAGGAACTGTTTCACTTTTTATCTCTAAAGGGATACAAACTATAACTCTTGTGTCTTAATTTTTAAAAGTATCTTTTTGACTGGTAGTGACCTTAAGAAAAAAGCCAGTGAGGCCTGAGAACCAGGTGGTGAATGTACTGTAGATTAGAGACTGGTGTACCGTTAGTTCCGAGCAGAGTAAAGGCATGAAGCACGAGGCTGCCTTAAATTCCTTCCCGTCCTTTGTTTATTGTTGGCTCTTGTGAGTCCATGGATTGGTTAATCTAGCTCTCAGTGATGTGGCTAGATAACAGGTTCTGAAGAAGATACTTAGAGGAGGCCTTTGTGGTCTCTGTAGGGCGTGCAGAGCCTCCTCTTTAGATTCTGATGAATTCCTAAGCTATTTCCAACTCCAGGAACCTGCAAATTCTGGCCAGTGGACTAGCTGAGAGTCTGTCAATGGAAGACTGTCAGAACACAGCCAGGCCTGTAGTTGCCTGTGTCATCCAGTGACCACTTTCTCTATGGGCAGAATTGCCTGAGCATGCCACAGACTGTGATGGTGAAACCCAAAACATTCAGTATCAGAAAAAAAGGAAGAAAAAAAAAATCTGCTAAGCTCTGCACTTACCATCTCCTTACTGCCTTTTGCGGCCAACCGGGATCTGAGCCGGGTTCTGATTCCCAGGATTAGCCGGTTGGTAAGTCAGCTAAAACAGCATGAACAGCGGGCAGACTGTGGGGTGTTTCCTATGTGCGTCTGGCCCCTTCTCGAAAGTGGCCAGTTTTTCCACGAAGAAAAACATTACTTGATGTCCCCAGGTCAGGACCTGAGAGTCCATGTTTTCAGCCTTTCAACATCTAGAACGAGCCCTTTATCTCTGGAAAATGCTTATCATCTTCAAAAGAGGGTGCCAGCAACTGCTGAAGTAAGCATCTGGTGGTGCGCTGGCTTGATGATCTGTAGTTGTACTTTAAACTAACTTTAGATTTTTTAGACTGTGTTTAGTTATTGTTACCACTTATTTATTTATTTAAAATTTTTTCCCAAACAGGGCTTCTCTTTCTGTAGGCCTGGCTGTCCTGGAAATCACTCTATAGACAGGCTGGCCTCCACCTGCCTCTGCCTCCCAGAGCTTATGATCATATAAACTGTATGTGAAAAAAACACAGTTTACTCTGCAGGGCAGTGGTGCCTCATAACTTTTAATTCCAGCCCTCAGGAGGCGGATCTGCGAGGTCGAGGGCAGCCTGATCTAGAGTTCCAGGACAGACAGTGCTATATAAAGGAAATCCTGCCTCAAAAGCAAACAGAAAAGAAAGATGCCTGTAATCCCAGCACGCAGGGATGCAGTGTCCGGTGGCTCTCTGTGAGTTCGAGGCCATCCTGGTCTACAAAGTGAGTCTAGGACAGCCAGTAATACACAGAGAAACCCTTTCTGGAAAAATCAACAAAACAAAACAAAACAAACAAAAAACAAAACCAAAAAAACAAAAAGAAAGAAAAAAAGATAATAAAAGTAACATATTCTTTTCTTTCTTTTTCCTTTTTTGGTTTTGGCTGTTCTGGACTCACTCTGTAGATCATGCTGGCCTTGAACTCATAGAGATATACCTGCCTCTGCCTCCCAAGGGCTGGAATAAAAGCCATGCACTACCAGCACCTGGCTATAAATTTTATTTAATGTTTTACAAAATAAAAAAAAAATGAACCTAATTAAATTACAAGTTAAAAATATAACCTTACCTTAATCCTCAGACTTTAAGTAAAACTCCTTAATTTTTAAAATTTTAGAAGATGTGTGAGGTTTGTTACCTGGTTTTCCTTAAAATAATAAAAAAATTAAAAACCAAAAAACATCTGGGCTAATCTCTGTGATTTTGAGTCCAGCCTTGTCTACAGTGTGAGATCCAGGACAGCCAAGGCTACACAGCGAAACCCTGCCTCAGAACAAACAAACAACCCCCAAATCTTTTAGAGTAGCAGGGAAAAGTTGTGAACGGGTCAGATTGTGTTGAACTAAATATTGTCAGTAGCACCAAATGCATCAGTGATGATGAGAACCAGGTTTGTGCATCATTTAAAACTCGATCTTCTGTATGACCAAACACTGACCGCATTCCTAGGTGACCGGTCACTGATGGACCAGTCGTCCACAGAGCCTAACACAATGTTCCAGAAGGTTCAACTCCCTCGAACTCCGGGAAAGGCAAACCCATGAGACGGTACAAAGGTCAGTGGCTTCCAGGCCTGGGAGGATTAAGTGGTCTATGGGGGAGTTTTTTTTACTACAGCAATGATACTTACTGCACAGGATGACATATTGCTTGCCTGGACATCACTGCACAATTGCCAAAGCACCAAGAATGAACTAAAGTCGGGTATGGGGGCACATGGACCTGAGCCCAACACTTGGAACGCTGAGGAAGGAGGATGGAGAAATTTAAGGCCAGCCTAAGATATGTAATGAGTCCCTGTCTCAAACCAACAACCATGGCGACAAATTAGCCCCACTGTAAACTACAATGCTGAGTGATACTGTATCTAGTGGGGGATGTTGATCACAGAGGAAACTATGCATTGGCAGGGAGATGTAAATTATACAAAATCTTTGTCCATTCTGCACAATACTCCTAGAGTCCCAAACTGATATTAAAATGTTGATTTTTTTTTTTTTTTTTCAAATCAGAAAACCTAGCAAGAAGAGGGAGAGGCAGCTTTGTGGGTTAAGGCCCATTCATCCAAGACCAATGACCTGAGTCCTCAGGACCCACAGAGCAGAGGAGAGAAGGAAACTTCAGTAAGTTGCCCTGTGACTTCCACATGTGTGTCAAGGTGCATTTACACACACATACACACAAACACGCACACATGTAATAAATGTAATCTTTGAAGCAGAAAACACAACAGGTGTGTGGTTCAGGCCTTCAGTACTATCCTTGAGGCAGAGGGAGGAACACTATAAATTTGAGGCCAAGTTCCAGACGAGACCAACATTACATATTGAGAAGTTAATTCAAGAAAAAGGAAGAAAGGAGGAAAGTAAGAAAGGAAAAGGAAATAAAGGAAAAGAACTCTAATAAAACCTACCATTCAATTTCCTCCTTACAAGTGTTGTGAATATATGAGTTTTTTGTTTTTGTTTCTAAAGTTGGCACCTCTGGCACAAATGTAAGGAAGTTTCCAATCCTTCCAGAAGAACAAGCCCACAGTGAAAGAAAGAACTTACTTCACACCCAGGTTGGATTTCCCAGGAACAGGGTTCTTCCGGAGGGACCATCCCCCTTTGGAAAGCGTGGTCACCCAGGCATGACTGACACAGAGCAGACTCAAAGTCTGGCTCCCCGTGAGGAAGGTGCACCCCAGAAGGGCCAGTGTACTTCAAGTTGGGGCTCTGATGCTTGTCCACACTGACCATGGGGCTCTTGATCCATCTTCGTACCTGAGAGCGAAAGGAGAGAAGAGAGATGCTTTTGATACGGGTGTCATTTAGAGTGTGCTCGTGGGGAATTTGGTGAGGCAGAGACCGATACAAGGCTCCAAAATTAGGGGTTTGTATGGTCTGTGCAGAAAATCCGAGTTCAGATCCCAGCTCCCACACAAAACAGTTCACAACTGACTGTACCTCCAGATCCAGGGATCCTCAGGCCTCCCCTAGCACCTTGATAACATACCCATGTCTGTGCCCACCACACACACAACACTGAGAAATAAAAATAAATCTTTAACACCTTAAAGTTTCCGGGCGTGATTGTGCACACCTTTAATTCCAGCACTCAGGGAAGAAGACAAGAATAAGTATATATTTCACTATTGTAAAACCTTTTTGTTGTTTTTGTTGTTGGTCATGGTGGCACAAGTCTTTAATCCCAGCACTCATGGGAGGCAGAGGCGGGGGAGGAGGGTTCCTGTGAGTTCAAGAAGAGCCTGATCTACAAAGTTCAGGACAGCCAAAGCTACACAGAGAAATTTTCTTTTTTTCTTTTCCTTCCTTCCTTTTTTTCTCTTTCTCCTCCTCCTCCTCCTCCTCCTCCTCCTCCTCCTCCTCCTCCTCCTCCTCTTCCTCCTCCTCCTCCTTCTTCTTCTTTTCTCAGTGAAGTTGCAGTCAGGAACGGTGGCATATACCTCTAATTCCAGAACCCAGGTAGCATAGTTTAGAGACTGCTGTGAGTTCAAGGCTCTGCTTGTCTGTACAGTTGAGTTCTAGGCCAGACAAGGCTGGAAGAGCTTGGCTTTAAAAGAGGACAGAAAAAGAATTGTAGCTAGGCTTGCTACTTGAGAAACTGAGTCAGGAAGAAGAAAAGTTCAAAGCCAGCTTGAGCTAGTGAATGTTTCAAGGCTAGGATGGGCAAGTTAGTGAGCGAGATGTTGCCTCCAGATAAACGTCTGAGCTGGCTGTGCAGTCCCCAGACTTGGGAGGCTGAGGCAGGGGAACATTTTAAGGCCAACCTGAGCTACAAAGTAAGATTCTTTCTCAAAAGCTGCAGGATGATGAGGCCCTATGTGAGTTCCAGTGTGTAATTCTAAAGCTTGGGAAAGTGAGGACAAGAGAACAAGTTCAAGGCCAGCCAGGGCTACTTGAGAGCCTACCTCAGTGCTCCTCTGTCAAGAGTCCATAACAGTGAAATGTTATCAGTGCAGTGTTTAGACTGCGCTAGACAAAGTTGTCCCTGCTAGAATTGAAGCGTTTTTCTCCCTTTAAAGACATTGAAGCCTTTATGTTTTCTCATCTCATAAATATTAGATTGCATCGTAAGCGCTGCTCCGACCTGTATTTTTATTTCTTAGGGAACAATTTTATTAATCATTGACAAGGGTCTTAAGCTATTAAAACCATCTTTATTTATTTACGTTTGTGTTCTAAAATTTTCTTTATTTGCCTTATTTATGTGTCTTCTTCTCTTCCCCCATCTCTTTCCCTTTCCCCTCTCTCAGAGAGATCTTACTATATAACCCAAACTGACCTCAAACTTGTGACATTCTTGCTTTAGTTGTCTAGTTACTGGTATGGTAGCATCTCTAACACGGCCATACCTGGCTGAAAAACCCAGTATCCAGCTCCTCCTTTTTCTCCTTGTTACTGGTTTTCTTGTCCCTACGTCACTTTTCTCCTCTCCCGCCCCAACCCCAGTCCTGCCCTTCTCATATCCTCTACACATTCCCAGTCTGCTTCTTGAGGTGTTGGGAAACAGACCCGTGACCTTTCACACGCTAGTGCTCCGTCACTGAGCGCTATCTCGTGCCCCTGTATTCTTTCCAATATTCGTTTAAAGAATCTTTTTTTTTTTTTTTTTTTTTTGAGTCTAAATAGAGTACCTATAATCTCAGTACTTGGGAGGTAGAGGCAGGAATATCAGGAGTTTAATGGGGTCAACCTTGGCTGCATAAGATCATGTTTCAAAAGTGTGTGTGTGTGTGTTATAAAACCAAAAAAAAAAAATAGATCAATATTCTTTTTAATTTCTTAGGATGATGTTTAAAAGGTGGGTTGTTCTGTCAGTATTCTTCGTACTGCCAGGACACTATAAGCAGGTGTGTTCAAGGGCACTCATCCTGGGCTGGGAAGGCAGCTCAGTGGATAGTGCACATGTTTTGAAGGCGTGAGGACTTTGACAGCCCAGATCCCCTGTGTAGCTAGGTGGGGAGTATGTGTCTTGATCCCAGGGATTCCAATAAGGCAAGAAGTCCACACAGGAGACGCCCCAGACGCTGCAAGCACCAGGCAGCCCCAAACAACAGAAAGAACTTGTTGCCAGCAAGGCAGAAGGAGAGGATCTGGGGCCGAAGATATCCCCTAACAGGTGTGCTTTGTCACACACGTGCCCACGTTCGCAAAGCACACTCACACAGGCGTGCCCACACAGGCACACACAGAGAGAAATAAAAAAGTTTAATGAAGGTTTAGGGGTACAGCAAAGTGGCAGAGTGCTCGCCCACCTCATAAGGTTTGGTCCCCAACATCATCAAGGAAAAAGTTTTGTCTGCTCCATGAGTGGCAAGCAACCTATGTTAACCTAAGATTCTGAGCTGGAATTTCTCTTCTTGATGCTGGTCTCAGATTTGTTTGTTTGGAGTGTGAGGCAGTGGTGGGGGCTGGATTGAATCTGTGGCCCCTTGAATGCCGGGTAAATGCTCCACCGCCTAGCTACTTCTCAGCCTTCCAAATGTGTTTCTGATCAACCTAGACATAACCAAGTTTTATTTCAGATGGAAAATATTTTTTATTATTATTCTTATTCAGAGAGTTCTGAGCTTGAAGCTGGTAATGGTTCTTGCTTTATTTCCAAACTTGAATTTAAAATTAATCTTTTCACTCTGGCTTTCTTTCCATCTCTTTTGCCAAGTCGATTTAGCTTCGGAGTGACTAGGAACAGGATGTGAAAAGATCCATCTTCCATTTTATTCACAAGCTGCAGGGCCTGGCTGAGATTATTCTTGGTATCTGAAAGTGTGAGTCTACCTTGCCTCTGTGGACAGTGATTTATAACTTGGGGTGCACACTTATTTATTAGAGGGACATGATATTTCTCTTCTAAAATGAGTGAACTTAGGTACATAGGGCAGAAAGTGAAGCAGGGCAATGTGAGTGGGCTCTTCGAGCCTTGAAGACCCCTGTCTCCATCATCCTAAGGAAAGCAACGGGCAGTAAAGGCGGACTTGTGGCCAACAGATGTCACGTGAGCAGGCGCATCCCCAGGTATGCATTTCAGGGGAAAGCCAGGCAGCAAATGCAAACTTGAGATGGAAAACCACAACTCTCCAGGAAAGTGAAACGAAGCAATGGCTTTTGTAGATTTTTCTGGGCAGTGGGTGTGGAGGTGTTCGTCCTTCATTTCCCGGGCCTGGATGCTTTGAGTCGATTGCTCGTCTTTTTATGATGCTTATGGAAATCTTCGATTTGCGTATGTGCCAAGCGTGGATGTGTCCGGTGTTTTAAATCAGTCGGATGGGGGAGTTAACTTCTCAGAAAGGCCCAGGATGCCAAGACACTCCTGACAAACCAACCCGTTCTGAACCTTAGACGATGGTGGCCTCGCGCAGAGAGTGTAGCTAGGGAAGGAAGTAATCTATTTCTTCAGAAGTGTCACAGAAGGGCATCAGGAAAGCGACAGGGCAGGACATTTTCTAACAGGGATGGAGGTGGTTATATGTCCCTTCCCCGTTACTTGCTGACAGTTTTCACTAGCTCTGTAGCTTCACCCGTGGTTTTTATGGGTCCTTAATTAAGGACAGGGTTTATGGTATTTACTTGGGCGGCGGAAATCCCTGGAGAGTGACTGGGGTGTGAGAAGTGAGCACGCGCAGAGACTCCTGGGCAAGGTGCCCCCTAGAACTGCTGAGAGAGCATCCCTCCGGCCCTCAGGGGATGGAAGTTGCAGCCCGCCCCCGGTGCTCCTTCAGGAGTTGAATTGCTGGGTTAGAGGGGACTGTGAGCGGCCTAAGCAGCTCAGGCTCCGGGGCCACCTTGGCCCAGTTTTATTCAGGGCACCACAACCTTGTGAAGAGCATTGTAAACAGACTGGGAGAGACACCCCCCCCCCATCTCAAACAAAGCCAGAGTTCTCTCACTGGGGGGCTTAGAGGAGTCTTATTTCCAAATTGAACCAGGCTTGGAAAGCAGCTATCTCTGGAGCCTGGAGTTAAAGAGTAAGACCATACTTCTAATTACATATTCTGAGCAATGCCTAGGTAAAACACTAAACGAAATTCTTTGCTAAATCTAGGCTGCCTTGGTTTTATTAATTTATTTGAAAAAAAAAAAAAAAAAAAAAAAAGCTCTCCAGAAAACATAATCCTGTTGACTAGAGGGTTGCCAGATATGATTCAGGGATTGGCCAGATTTTAGGGATTTTCCACTTGTGGTTCCTTTTCCTATTATGTAATAGTAAACAGATATTACTCTTAATATAAAATGGCTTAGTTGATAATGATATCAACTGATGCGGAAAAATGATAGCTCACCGGCACTTCTGTGTGAACCAGCTGGCAGAGCCTCTGTCTCCTGGCTCTCTTTGTTTTGGGAGAGAGAGCTGCCTTATTCTCAAAAGCCATGGGGACCAGAGGTGAGGCACACTTTCATCCTGGAAAACCCACTGTTTATATAACGCCATAGTAACTTTCAGTTCTCCCAGGTTGGGTAATGCCTGGGTCCCCAGCACTTGGGAGGTTGAGGCAGGGGGATTACAAGGCGTATAAGACCACCCTAGGCTGCTATAGTGAGTGCCAGGCTCCAACAAGAAGAAAAGAAAGAAAGAAAAGAAAAAAACATTAAAAAATAAAGTCTTTTAATCCTGACATAAGGCAGTTTTCCAACTAAAATGTTCAGAAAATTATTAAAAGACGCACTGTCTCCTCCAAATAGCTATGCCTCGCTGCCTGGGTACCTGATGGCAGATGGGTTACAATGGATATGGGGTTCCTCACATATCCATAGCCAGGGCC